ACTTTTCTATTCATCTCAGAAGGCAAAGATCAATCTGGAAAGTCAGACTAAGAGTAGATTCAAAGGCCTGATGGAGATGAGATTCACCCAGCCTTATCTCTTCTGAGATGAAGACCATGTACACTTTCAGTCAGGATGTATTCTTAGTCAGCAGGAACCCAGGACCCTCTCCTCCTGCCTACAGTAACATTGCTAAAGATGCTGAGCCTTGGAATTGCTTCTCATTTGCAAATGGTAATTTTCATGTTTACAAATGGTAACCATCTAGATGTAAAACTTCCTTCAGTTCAGTTCAGTTCAGTCACTCAGTCATTGTCCGACTCTTTGCAACCCCATGAACCTCAGCACGCAAGGCCTCCCTGTCCATCACAACTCCCAGAGTTTACTCAAACCCATGTCCATCGATTCAGTGGTGCCAACCAACCATCTCATCCCCTGTCATCCCCTTCTCCTCCTGCCCTTAATCTTTCCCAGCATCAGGGTCTTTTCAAATGAGTCAGCTATTCGCATCAGGTGGCCAAAGTATTGGAGTTTCAGCTTCAACTGATGTTGAAGCTGAACATCAGTTCTTCCAATGAATTTTCAGGACTGATCTCCTTTGGGATCTTCCTTAAGTAAATGGATCATTAGACATAAATACATAGTCCTCTAGATGACCACCTGATGTGAAGAGCTAACTCACTGGTAAAGACCCTGATGCTGGGAAAGATTGAGGGCAGAAGAAGGTGGTATCAGAGGATGACATGGTTAGATAGCATCACTGACTCAGTGGACAAGAATCTGAGAAAACTCCTGGGAGACAGTGGAGGACAGAGAGCCCAGCACACTGCAGTCCATGGGGTCTGCACCACATGCAGTCCAATTCACAAAGAGTCGGACACGACTTGAACAACAACAACAAATATGCAATTTTCTGAATGTCTCTGTAGCAATTCAAAGGACTTTGCTGCCAGAAGTCCAAAATTCTTTGATACCAATTCATTTTACCCGGGGATTCCCAGATGGTGTTAATAGTAAAGAACCTACCTGCCAGTGCAGGAGAGACATAGAGATCCGGGTTGGATCCCTGGGTCCAGAAGATCCCCTGGAGAAGGAAATAGCAACCCACTCCAGTATTCTTGCCTGGAGAATCCCATGGAGGGAGAAGCCTGGAGAACTACAGTCCATAGGGTCGCAAAGAGTCAGACACGACTGAAGCGACTGAGCACGCATGCATGCATTTTACCTCATACCGTTAAATATATTTTTTAATCTATATCTATACCATTGACTTTCAAATTTTGCCTTTTAGAGCCCAGGCATTTTATGATTCTGACTTAAATGCTTTAAAGGTTAATAAACTTTTCCTAATTCACAAAAGGGAGAACAAAATCAGGCACAGTTTCCCCAATTTTATATTTTCATTCAAGACTATCAGAAGTGCTACTGCTTAAAGGACAGCAAATTACTGAATTACTAATAAACAAATACTGAGGGAAACAATGTTTCAATCAAATGATTAAAAATCAATGTGACGCAGAGAACATTTTCAGTCAGTTCAGTTCAGTTCAGTTCAGTCTCTCTGTCGTGTCCAACTCTTTGCAACCCCATGAATCACAGCATGCCAGGCCTCCCTGTCCATCACCAACTCCCAGAGTCTACTCAAATTCACGTCCATCGAGTCCGTGATGCCATCCAGCCATCTCATCGTCTGTCGTCCCCTTCTCCTCCTGCCCCCAATTCCCTCCCAGCATCAGGGTCTTTTCCAATGAGTCAACTCTTCTCATGAGGTGGCCAAAGTATTGGAGTTTCAGCTTCAGCATCAGTCCTTCCAATGAACACCCAGGACTGATCTCCTTTAGGATGGACTGGTTGGATTTCCATTCAACCTAATTTGTATAGCACACCAAAAACGAGTGAGGTGCTGTGGAAGACACAAAGTTGAAACACTATATCTGCTGTCAACATGAATGTTCTATGAAATGCATCAGGAAAATGGACAGCTGTGTAAAAGGGTACCCATGGAAAACTCCACCATGGATGAACAACACTCTTTCTCCTCTTAGGTGATCAGGAGGCTGGTAGACTGTGGCTGAATAGGACAGAATGCACAGGAATAGGAAAGCTCAGGAGCTGGAAAGAGGAGGTAGGAAAAGGACTTTCTAGCTAGGCTGAAGAAAGAGGAGACAGCTTAAGAAAAGAAAAAGATAGCATCATGCCTTCATGGAGAAGCAGAAAGCAAACTGTTACTCAAAGCGAAAGACTTAAGTAGAGATACAATTAGAGATAGAAGTAGTGGTCAGGGAATGAATCAGGACCTTGGATGCCAAGCTGAAGAGTCTAGGTAGTTTCCTCGAGGCAACTGAGAGACAACAGAGATGGCTGAGCGTGGGAAGATGTGAAAGATTAATGTCCCTGTGTCGGGCAAAATGGGGGACTGGGGCCAGGGAGGGGAGTAAATGATGGATAACCAGTGTAAGTTACTGAAATAGATCAGGTATAAGCCAGGCTGCTGGAAAAGGGAATAGTAAGGAAGGAGGAAGGTAAGAGCTGCTGAAAAGAACGTTTTGGTTCAGAGGCTAATTGAATAGGGAGGACAGAGACAGAAAACATATTATTTTTACATCCAAATAACTGGGATCATTAATCAAACCACCCACAAATTCAAGGAGAGTAAATATGATGGCTGCTGATTTTAGATGAAAAATGTCCATGATTAAAAGAACACCACTTATTCAGAGCTTGCCACGGGTCAGCTCATGGAACTGTCATGGAAGCTCCATGAGTTAGGTATATTATTCCCCTTTTACAAACCAGAGAACTGAGGCCAGTGTCTTGCGGGGAGTGAGTGACTGAGTTGAGACCTGAACCCAGACCATGGTTTTGCATTGAACTTTCAAATTTCCAAGAGGAGACTGGTGTGTGGGGCAGAGACCTAGTAGAATAATCAGAGCTGGAAACCGAAAGTTGGGAGTAATAGCAGCAGCCTGGGACGAGAGAGCAGAGAGTGGAGGTGGAAGCTGGGGGCCGAGCTTTGACTGGCCCTCTGTTTTGGTTTCCATTACAGATCTGAAATCAATAAGAGTGGCTTATAGGATCCTGTGATAAACGACCTGAATTCAGAAGCTGACTTTGAGGAATAAAGAGGCGAGGTCTTTGTTTGCTTCCCATTCCATGCGCTTGTCACTTTCTCTCTCCTTTCCACAGGGCCAGAGATCTGTATCACAACCATCAAAGATTCAATCAGCCGAGGACAGTCAGGAAAGAGAAATCATGCAGTAATTTGAACAGTAAATGGTTAACATGAGGGCATATTAATTATAATTGTGTAATAGATTTATAAGAGACCAGCTAATAAGAAGTGAAAAGGACTTTAAAGAGCATAGGACTAGCAGATATAGAGAGAAGCCACTACCTCTAGAGTTGAGATAGATTATCCCCTAGCTCAGGTTTCCCTGGTGGCTCAGAAGGTAAAGAATCAGTCTCCTGCAATGCAGGAGGTTCAGGTTTGATCCCTGGGACAGGAAGATCCCTTGGAGAAGGATATGGCAACCCACTCCAGCATTCTTGTCTGGAGAATTCCAGGTACAGAGGAGCCTGAAAGGCTACCATCCATGGGGTCACAAAGAGTCAGACATGACTGAAGTGACTAAAACAACAAAAGATCAAGCCTGGATAACCATCTTCAGACTGCTTTTCTGCAAAATAAAAATAAATCCTTAGTCTAAAACCTGGAGCTAAATACAGCTTCTAACTCAAACGGTACAGGACTACTTAGCTTTCAAATATGTAAAACAAAATCTGATAGAGGAAAACAACTAGCAAGTCAACAATCAGTGATTGATTTTAATACACCTGTTTCTAAAATCAACTGACTTTAGACATTAGAATTAAAATGCAAAAATTATCAGTCTGGATTAAAAAAGCATACTCCCAACTACATGCTATTAGAAATGGAATTTAAGTTTTAAAAATGCAAACAGGTAGAAAATAACAAGATGGAAAAGTATATGGCATGCTAACAGGGAGTATAAGAATCTGCAAAAATAGGCAAGGAATATTACAGAGGAATGAGAATCATTTCATAATGATAAGGTAGCCAATTCATCAAGACATAATTCTAAATGTGAGACACACCTGATAACAGAGTTTCAAAACACATGCGGCAAAAATTGACGGAGCTGGAGGGAGAAATAAATCCACAATCATGGGTGGAGATTTTGTCATTCCCCTCTCAGTAACTGATGGAAAAAATGGGCAGAAAAATCACTAAGGATATAAAGACTTGGATAACACCAGCTAACAACTCGACCTCACTGACATTTCTAGAATATCCCACCTGACAACTGCAAAATGCACAATCTTTTCAACTGCACATAAAATAGTCACTGAGATAGACCCTTATCCAAGACCAAAACCAGCTGATGAAGCAAGTAAAAATCAGAAATAATTTTGAAGACTTCACACAATTAACATGTAAGATCCCTGCCTACATGGCACACATCTCAGCAAACAGAGTCAAAAACATTCTTTTCAAACCACATGAAGTGAAGTGAAGTGAAGTTGCTCAGTCATGTCTGACTTTTTGTGACCCCATGGACTATATGGTCCACGAAATTCTCTAGGTCAGAATACTGGAGTGGGTAGCCTTTCCCTTCTCCCGGGGATCTTCCCAAGCCAGGGATCGAACTCAGGTCTCCCAGATTGCAGGCGAATTCTTTACCAGCTGAGTCACAAGGGAAGCCCCTCAAACCACATGAGTCAATACCAAAAATTGTGTGTACCTGACCATGGCAGGCAGCCTCCAATATGATCCCCAGTGGTCTTCACCTCCCAGTAATCTCATCCTGTGTGGTCCGCTCCCATCGAGTACAGACTGGACTTAGTGAGCCCCTTCTGATGAACAGAATAAGATGTGATGGCTATAACTCAGAGACAAGGTCATAAAAGGCTGTCTGGGGTTGCTATCACTCTCTCTCTGAGCACTCCTTCTAGGAGAAGCCAGCTGCTACGTGATGAAATCCACCTGGTGAGGAACCGAGGCCTCCTGCCAACAGTCATGTCAGTGAACCATGAAAGTTGCTCCCCAACCCCAGTCAAATCTTCAGATGCCCGGAGTCCTACCAACAGCCTCTCAAAACCTCATAAGAGATCCTGAGATAGAACCACCCAGGTAAGCTGCTTCTAGATTCCTGACCCTCGGAAACTCTGAGATAATAAATGTTTGTTGTTCTAAACTACTAAGTTTTGGGGGTAATTTGTCACCAAACAATAGATAACATCTAAGCTATTAGGAAAAAAAACTCTCCAAACTGAAATTTATACAATCTACTTTGCCTGACCAGAAAGCAATACAATTAAATATTAATGACAAATCTTTCTTAAAAATTTTAAACTGTTTTAAATAATTCTTGGTTAAGAAGGCTGTCAAACTGAAATTATAAACTATTTAGAGAGGAATGAAAATGAAAACACTACATATCAAAACCCATGGGATGCAGTCAAATATTAAGAAATATTTTTAGCTCAAAAATCTAGTATTTATTAGAAACCAGGAAAAGACTAATGGGAAATGAACTAAACACCTGACTCAAGAACTTGATGAAAAGAATAAAAAAATGATACACTCCAAAGAGTAAAAAACGGTTAGTAATAAAAGTTAGAATATAATGCTTTAAACAATAGACTTTGTCAAAACCAATATTCTTTGACTAATAAAAGAGAACAACTTTTGGCATTTCTAATTTCTAACTGGTGAAAAAAGGAAGAGAAGATGTAAATAAACATTAGAAATGCAAAAGAAAACATATCTTGAATCTCTTTATCTGGAGCTATTTTCTTAAAGACTGCATATAATTATATTCCCAAAACTGGAATATCCAATTCAAATTAAAATTTTCTAATATGGTCCAATAGAACTTTTGCAAGGATGGAAATATTTTGTATCTTCACTGTCAAATATGTTAGCATTGGCCATACATTGATACAACTCTAGAGCAATTGAAACATTGTTACTGCAACTAACTGAATTTCTAAATACTACTTCCTTTGAATCAACAATTACATATGGCTGGTGACAACTGTAATAGATAACACAGTTCTAGAAAAAAATTATAAAAGTTAAGAGGTAGAAAAATTTACTTAAGTCTGAACACTATGAAGGAATTTGAAAATGCAGTCAAAAATATACTTTAAAGATGTTTATTAGGTGAGTTCTACTAAACATTCACAAATAATGTTACAAATTTACAAAGTGTAGAAATACCTCAAAATTCCCAATTATTTCTTCAAAGTTAACTCTGAGAACAAATTCAATAAGAAAGCATCCAGAGAGGCTTCCCTGGTGGTCCAGTGGCTGTTGATTCCATGCTTCCACTGCAGGGGAAACAGCTTCAATCCCTGGTCCAGGAACTAAGATCCCATATGCCACAGAGTGCGGCCCAAATTTTTTTAATAAATAAACAAGTACAGTTTATCTTCTCACCAATGCCCAAGCTCTGCTGCTGATCAACAAGAGGCTATGCTCATTACAGTGACTCAAGGGCCCTGGCTGGCTTTGTATGTTGCTGGTCAGGAAGTCAGAGGTAGAAAGAAATAGCCCTGAATATGTTGCTGTAACAATAAAATTCTTGGCCCAGAATTGTGACATTAGTTCCACTTCCAACTCATTGGCCCAAACTAACAACATGGCTGGACCCAACTCCAAAGAATCTAAGATCCCCAGAAGCTGTGCCTCATGACCAGGGGAAAAAAAAAAAAAAACACCTTTGGAGAAAATCTATTTAAATCAGCAATCAGAGAAAGACACCCACCATTGGCCATACTAGTCAATATCATACTTGAAGTCCTTGCCAATGCAAGAAGAATTAAGGGGTGAAACAGTATTGGAAAAAAGAGCAGATGTCATAATGAAGACAATATGCTCATCAACTTAGAAAATCCAATGAAATCAACTAATATGAGAATTAATTACAAGGATTAGAACTAGAGGACACTTCAGAAAGTGGCCATATCCAAGGCCAGTGGAGTCACTAGAAAAATAACTCAAAATTATGGTGGGCTTCTCTGGTGGTCCAGTATTTAAGAGTCTGCCTTGCAATGAAGGGGACAAGAGCTTCAATCCCTGATTTGGGAAGATTCCACGTGCCTCGGAGCAACGAAGCCCATGCACTACAACTACTGAAGCCTACACCCTAGAGCCCATGCTCTGCAAAAGACAAGCCACCACACTGATAAGCCCACGCACCGCAGCTAGAAAGCAGCCCGGGCAGCGACAAAGACCCAGCACAGCCAAAATAATAATAAAGAAAGAAAGAAAATTATTTTAGCAGAGAAAGAAATTCTGGAGAAAGATTTCATTCTCAGAAGCAAATCAAATTATCAGATATCTAGGAATAAATTTATCTGGAAATCTATATAAAACAAAAGTGATTAAACTAGAATTTTTTTTTTACTAGAGAAAAGAATTACAATGATCCTGAATGAGAAGATTTAATGCTGTTAAGATTTTAGTTTAAAAACAATTATCTATACACTCAAAGTAATTTCAATCAAAATCCCAACAATTAATTACATCAAGCTAATACTAAAATTCATGGGAAATAGATGGGGAAACAGTGGCAACAGTGGCTGACTTTATTTTGGGGGACTCCAAAATCACTGCAGATGGTGATTGCAGCCATGAAATTAAAAGACACTTAATTCCTTGGAAGGAAAGTTATGACCAACTTAGACAGCATATTAAAAAGCAGAGATATTACTTTGCCAACAAAGGTCCGTCTAGTCAAGGCTATGGTTTTTCCAGTGGTCATGTATGGATGTGAGAGTTGGACTGTGAAGAAAGCTGAGCACTGAAAAATTGATGCTTTTGAACTGTGGTGTTGGAGAAGACTCTTGCGAGTCCCTTGGACTGCAAGGAGATCCAACCAGTCCATCCTAGGGAAGATCAGTCCTGGGTGTTCATTGGAAGGACTGATGCTGAAGTTGAAACTCCAGTACTTTGGCCACCTCATGCAAAGAGTTGACTCATTGCAAAAGACCCTGATGCTGGGAGGGATTGGGGACAGGAGGAGAAGGGGACAACAGAGGATGATATGGCTGGATGGCACCACCAACTCGATGGACATGAATTTGAGTAAACTCCGGGAGTTGGTGATGGACAAGGAGGCCTGGAGTGCTGTGATTCATGGGGTCACAAAGAGTTGGACACGACTGAACTGAACTGAATACTAAAATTCACATCTAAATGTCCAAGAATCTCCAAGAAAATAGCTTTTAAAAGCAATTTCCTTACCAAATGTGCTAATAAAGTTACAGAAAATACAACTGTGTAACTCTAGGACAGCAATAAACAAATATACAAGAGGATCAAACCTGTCAATCCTAAAGGAAATCAACCCTGAATATTCATTGGAAGTACTGATGCTGAAGCTCCAACACTTTGGCCACCTAATGAGAAGAGCCAACTCATTGGAAAAGACCCTAATGCTGGGAAAGATTAAAGACAAAAAGTAAAGGGGGCAACAGAGGATGAGATGGTTGGATGGCATCACTGACTCAATGGACATGAGTTTGAGCAGACTTGGGAAATAGTGGAGGACAGTGGAGCCTGGTATGCTACAGTTCATGGGGTCACAAAGAGTCAGATACGACTTATCAACTGAATGATGGCAACAAATAAGGAAATTAAACAGCAGATGAAGAGTAGATCCATTTCATATCAGACATAGTTGGCTCTTCATAGCAATGGGGACGAAACAGACAATTCAGTAACTGTCACTGGAAAAATCTAATATCCATCTGTGAAAAAAATTAAAATATATCTACCCCACACTACCTAAGCAAAAAATTCAGATGGACTATAGAAACAGTAGCCAAAACTCTAGACCACTGCTTTTATGACCTTGACAGAGTAAAGAAACATACAAATCCCAGAAACTATAAACAAAAAGACTGGCTTATTTGCTCACATAGAAATTCAAAACTTGACAAAAGATTCTATAAGCATCATTAAAATGCTAGAGAAAATAACTGCAAAGAATTAAAATTTATAAAACATAAATATATAAAATGTATAATATATAAAGCATTTCTCTAAGTCAAGAAAAAGACAATAAATATCTAAGTCACAGAAAGAAATAAAACTAATATACTTTGGAATGATATCTTACAACTATTATAAATTAAATACACATTAAGAATACAAGGAAAGCATTTTGTGACTCAATCTTGCAACATTTCTGCTTTTTTCTTTTTTTTTGTTGTGGGGATGTGTGTGGGTGTGTGTGAATAAGGATAGTCAGATAGATATTCTCAAGTTTGGAAGGGCAAGCTGGCAAAAGCAGTATACTCCTGCACGCATTTTTACTTCTAATAATGCATCACGCTAGAATATTTTTAAATCTTTTATGATTTATATTAAGATAATTTTCTAAATTTTACTTAGAATAATGAGAAATCTGACTAGAAATAGTCAACTAAAACAAATATTATGACTACCAGAAATGTAAGCACATGGAAATATCCATAACAAAATTAAAAACAAGATATCAAATTATATAATAAAAGCTATAGTAACAGTGTGAGTGGTACCGTTAACATTTGTTGAACATTTACTAAGCCCTTACTATCTACTAACTTGTTTAATTTACACAATCCCTGTATGAAGTAAATACTACTTTTTTACTCATAAAGATAAATAGACACCTCAAAGGTTTGGGTGAATTCACTTACATAAGGTAACTAGGTGGTGTCTGCAAACACTTTAAGTGTTCTGAGTTTGGTTAATGAAGGTTTTCAAGTTGAGATTCTAATACTGTCACCTCACCCACCCCCTACCAACTCAGGGCAATCTAGGATCCTTGCCAAAGTTGAGAAGCAAAGGATAAACCAACAGAGAAGGTCAAAGTTCTGCCTGCCTTTCTAGAGGAAGATCACATCTCTGGCTTGATGACCTGGGAAATAACAGGTGGAAATTCCTCTGCCCACCTTCAGCTCACCTGAGACATAAAAGGCATCTCAAGGCTGAAGTGGATGCTTAAACTTGGTGAGTGATTGGCATGAACACCTACCTGGGTTCTCATCTCCTAAAAACACCACCAGGCCACTATGATTATATAAGCAGGCTGACCCTAGATAAAGTAGAACAGTGGGGGTCAGAAAAGCTGTAGAAGAGTCTCGCACCCCTCAGGGTGATCTCCCAACCACAGTCTCCATCCTTAAGGACCCCCAACACTCACAGCTCTGCCCTCACCTTCCCAACTCACTCCAAAAGGAAGCACAGAATTCTGAAACTCGATTATCACTCAAAGAAACATTTGCATAAGATTAAAATAAAAAAGAAAAAGAAGAATGCCCCTGGAGCAAACAGTGCATCTCACAGAGGAATTATTCAATGGCAGTCTTTCCAGCATCAGTGGGAGAATACTTGAGACAGAGTCCTTCCCAGACTCTGTCCCCCACCTCCCAACACGGGCTGTTGCTGATAGAGCTGATCCACGTGGCAAACAGCTCCATAAGCAATCGGCTCTGTCTTTTCGCCTCATTGAGAAGGTAACCTGATTTCCCCACAAGTATAATGCATTTGATCATTAAAAACTCTAGAAGCCCTCATGGAAAAGTTAATGAGTATGAGAATAGAAACCTGAAAATATGATGGGTGGCCTCAGTCCAGCCCTGAAAGCACAGCTGCAAGAAAGGTGCTGATGTAGTTGATGAAAACTTTAGATGCTTTAAGACGTTCCAGAAGCACAGGTCAAAGGCTGCTGCTAAATTCGGACCTGTGAAGGAGCAATTTCCAGCTCCTTAAGGGACCATTTCAAGCTCAAATCAGAGGGCACTAAAGCCCTGTGTGTTCCACGGCTCCTACCGATGTATGACTTGACCAGCTGGATGTCTGAAATATCTCAGACAGCTCGGGTACCAACCCTGGAGATAAATGGTAGAAGGACACCGAGCTTATTAACTACAGCCACAAAGCAGTTTTAATTAGAAAGCAAAAAAAGCATTTGATGTTCAAACTCAAGATCCCCTGGCAGGAGAGCATTAATGAGGCTGGGAAAGAGAAGGGACAGCGCAGTGACTGAGAAGGAACATACATGCAAAGGTCTTGGCAGAGGAACTAAAAATAAGGCCAGTGTGGGCAGAAGAAAGCAAGATGGGGAAAGCAAGGAAGAGGGGGACCAGCCCAGGCTGCAGGGGAGGCCAGGGCCTGGAGGCCACAGGCCTTTCAAGACATGATAAGAAGCTGAGATTGTGTTCTATGTGCTTCGGAAAGCCATGAAAGCAGGGAGGGTATGAACTGATCCATGTTTTTTAATGATCAGCGGCTGGGGAGGGGCAAGAACACACTTGTGGGGATCACTTAGCTGGCTACTGGGTGGTCTAGATCAACCTCCAGGCTGCAGAACGCTACCTCCTGTCAGATCAGTGGCAGCATTATATTAGAAATAAAGTGCACAGTAAATGTAATATGCTTGAATCATCCCCAAACCATCACCCCAGTTCACGGGAAAATCATCTTCCATGCAATCAGTCCCTGGTGCCAAAAAGTCTGGGGACTCCTGGTCTAGATGTAAGATGGTGGTAGCCTGTGATAAAGGCAGCACTGGAGCTGAAGGGAAGGAGCAGATTTGAAGACTTGTTGATGGACTGGATGCAAGTGGCAAGGAGAGAAGGGTGTTAAGAGGAAGAAGGGGAGACAGTAGGAAGAACAGGGTTGGAGCTGAAGATCAAGAGTTCAGCCTTGGACACATTGCTGAGACAGCATCTAGGCCTCTATAAAACAGGCAACATATGCACTGGGAGACAGGCAGAGGCCACAGATCCTGCCCCCACCCCAAAAGACTTTTCCAGCAGTCACTATGGTTTGAATTCTCAGCACTGGCCTCCTTTCATCGGGGAATCTGGGGTTTGCAGGAGGGTACTACTGCACATCGCATCACATGCTGCACAAGCACATCACATTACAGCCCCAGATCTGCAAGCTCACTGCTGAGGAGGCTGTGAACCGGGAGGAGGGAGGAAGGCACAGGTTGGGACATTTCTGATGATGAGACAGCCCAGGGCAGGCCCTGGGAGGTGGCTTGGGAGGGAGGCATCTCAGGAGGAGACTGCCAGTTAGGGCCTGCCTGAAAGATCTGTACCAAACCACCTTCTGTTCAGCCCAGATCCCTGACTGCAGAGACAAAGATGTCAATTAAAGAGAAGCACCTGAGATCCCTGTGAGGTGCCTGTCATCAGGCAGAGGCACAGGAGTACTGGCTTAGGCAGAATCCACTTCCACTGCCTGCCAGGAAGGGACATGCACGCTCCCCTGAGGATGCCCTGGGGCTGATCAGAGAAAGTCGGCGTGAGTGGCACAGGCCTCAGCACACAAATGTGCCTGTCTGGGCATCGATGTTCTTATTACAGTTCTCAAGAATTACTCCTGAACCTCTCCTCCATCTGAAGACATGGGCGTGCCATCTCCTGCAGAAACCTCCTTCCTTTCAGCCCAGTGCAGACTCAGGAGTCAGACAGCATGGTTTTGTAGATAGACCAGCTTTGGCATCTACTGTGCAACCGCAGGCAAGTCACTTAACCTCTCTGTGCCTCACATGTCTCATCTGTAAAATGAACATGGCAATATTAGAGAGGAGTTCCCTCCTGGGATAGTACTGTGAGGAGTTCTGCAGACCCACTTCTCAATGAAACAAGTCTAACTTGTGAAATCTATTTGAAAACAAACAATTATTTAAAGTCTCTGAAAATTGTCCTAAAGGCACGTAGCAAATGAAACACTTGTTCAGTAGAGAAAATCTGCTGCAACTTGCTAAGACATTGAGAATCTGTGGCATCTGAGTCGCAACCCTGCCCTTCTGCCCACCCAGCTCGGCCCCCCACCCCCTCATCCACTCTGGGCAGCCGTGGCCAAGAAGAGGGCTTCCTCTCCCCTCGGTTCCTAAACAAGGGGCACAGGGCACTGGGAGGAGCGGGCTGCCAGCTTTTCTCATGCTTCCAAATCCAATGAATGTGTGTTAAGTCACTTCAGTCATGCCCAACCCTTTGTGTCTCCATGGACTATAGCCCACCAGGCTTCTCTGTTCATGGGATTCCTCCAGGCAAGAACACTGGAGTGGGGTGCCACTTCCTCCTCCAGGAAACCTTCCTGACCTAGGGATCGAACCCACGTCTCTTAAGTCTCCTGCTTTGGCAAGCGGGTTCTTTACCATTAGCATCGCCTGGGAAGAGGCTAAATTCTTGGTGAGTTCAATCAAGAGATCAGGGCTTCTTTCTTCTGAGCATCTCCCATTCATTGGATGGATGCTCTAACCCGGGGTCATCAAACCAAGAACACTGGGGTCCCAACTGCCCCTTCCCCCTCCTCATTCAGAGGGCAGAGGCTTCACACATCGGGAGAGGCAAGCTGAGAAGACCAGTGGTTACTGCCCCCCCACCCCCCAGTGTGGGAACAGTGCACAGAGTTTTCTGGGGGAAGAAGCAGTCCCCAAATGAAATGATGCTATTTGAAAGGGAGTGTGGGAAAGTTCAAGCCTAAGAGTGCTCTTGGAAACAATGGGGATTTTGATCATAAGAAAATGAGACTAGTAGCCTCTTGTATTCAATTGCAGCAACCCAAACCACAGGCCAGCTAGTTCATCAGAAAGGACCAGGAAAAGAGCTAGGAAGAGCCCTACTGAGCTCAAAACAAACTCCAAAGACTGGCCTCAAAAACCGTCTCTGCCCTCCACGCGTAAAACAGATAGCTAGTGGGAAGCGGCTGTATAGTGCAGGGAACTCAGCTCGGTGCTCTGTGATGACCTGGATGGGTGGGATGGGGGCTTGGAGGGGGGGATGAAGGTCCAAGAAAGAGGGGGTATATGTATACATATAGCTGATTCACCTCGTAGTACAGCAGAAACTAAAACAACTGGAAAGCAACTCTGATAAAATAGGAAAAAACTACCCCTGCCCCAATTAAATTGGATGAGAGGCAGAGTAATTGACGCCCCAGGACACTGTTTTAAAAATTAGAGCAAGCAGCCAGCAAATGATGGAGACTAACATCTGGGTGTGATACCAAACAAGGCAAGCATCTTGACAGAGATGAGGAGAAAACACAAAGAGACAGCCACCGCTATCTCACCCCCCCACTCACCAACACCACTCTCATCCCTGAGTGGTGGCTATGCACATGCTCTTCACTCTGGAACTCAACCATTTCACTTTCTCTCTGTGGATAAAGGAGGTCAGTAATTAAAATGAGTCCTGCAGTGATTAAGAATAATTCTACATCACCACATTCATGGAATTATGCTCAAATTAGACAATGTTTGGTAAAGTATTTTGCAAACTACAAAATACACCATATGTGTTGATTAGCATTATTCTATCAGAGAAGGCAATGGCACCCCACTCCAGTACTCTTGCCTGGAAAATCCCATGGACAGACGGGCCTGGTGGGCTGCGATCCATGGGGTCGCTAAGAGTCGGACACGACTGAGTGACTTCACTTTCACTTTTCACTTTCCTGCATTGGAGAAGGAAATGGCAACCCACTCCAGTGTTCTTGCCTGGAGAATCCCAGGGACGGGGGAGCCTGGTGGGCTGCCGTCTACGGGGTCACACAGAGTCGGACATGACTGAAGTGACTTGGCAGCAGCAGCAGCATTATTCTATACTTTATAGGGCAATTAATATAAGGTAGTAATTAAGATGACAAATTTGAGGGTAAAGCGTGGAGGTTCAAAGCCCAAATCCATCGCCTCTTGATTTGGGGAGTTACCTAGCTTCTCTGAGACTCAGTGACTTCAGATATGAAATATGTCCTGTATGTCACAGACAACATACTTCTAAAGCTCTAACACAGTGCCTGGTACCCAGCCAGTGACAACCAAGGAAAGTCGTTATCATAAACATAAACTAGCACTAATATCTGACTAGGTTGCTTTAGAAGCAGAATTTACTGGAACCCCAAAGCCAAAACTGAAAATAGAAAATTGACACTAATTTATTAACTTGTTAGAAAGAAGATCTAAAGAGAGATGGACCAGTTGCTTTTTAAAAATTCAGTCATTTACCTGTTAGATGTTGATGGCATATTTCCATATTCCCAGGAAGGTTCCACTTTATAAAGATAGTTCTAGAGTACATCAGAAGGGTATTTGCTGGTGGTGGATAGTGATGTACATTGTAGTGCTTTTGACTGACATTAGAAAGACTTTCAACAGTTTCTCAAAGGCACTAAAGATTATTTTGTCCTTCAACTTCTCTTTAATAGAGATCATGAGAACATTATTTAGCTGGAGCCATGTTGCTTCTGGCGGAAACACTGGGTGTCCTTTTTGAGTTCATACCTTAGGTCGGTCCCTGTCTGACCACTTTGTTCTCCAGATGAAAAGGTGACCCAATCTCCATAGAAGAAATGATCTGTTGGCTTCAACCAATTCAAGAGGAAAGTAACATAGCTTTGATACATTAATATTCTGTTTTAAGCAAGCTGCCCTGGGGGTTTTCTTTGATTACAGCCTCTAAAATGGATTTACTTTCTAAATGTTGACCTTACCAGGTATCTAGCAGACAATAAATCATTGCCAAGCGGTCCCGTATTTACCAAGATATACCACCTACTATGCGTGCATTGATTTTTTTTTTAAGCCACAAACTCGCTCAACTTTATCTACTTAAAATATCCCCAGCAAAATAATGCTTCATTCTTTTTCCACCTCCAAATCCTACAGTACACAAATGTACAATGAAATTTTTATGCAGCATAGTAGGGGTTGGAGTGGATCTGACTTTTGGTATAAAATAGTTTCTTTAGTTCTTATTGTTAAGTAGCTTTTCCCAAGAAATGTGCTAAATTTATTGGAATGCAGAGTACATTCATACTCAAATGATATTTAACACTTCACAAGCATACAGATCACTGTCTTCTGCTCTCCCAGCTAACAGTTAGAGCACTGGGTCAGTGCTCTGGCTCAAATTCCTTGCCCTCCCCAGGGCCATGCTCAAGTTGAAGCCTCCATCATGTCTTGCCTGGACTGAGGCAGCAGCTTCCTACTGCCACCTATGGTCCCCTAAGCTGCACACACTTAGAACTCATTCTTCCCTCCTGGGTTCTGACAGGGGGTGTGCTGGACCTTGCTTATCCTAGATGAGAGAGGGGGCTATAACATTTTCAGGAATTTTGTGAGCTAAATTCAAAACATAGCCATTATTTAAAAGCCAAGTTAGGGGCTTCCTGGTGGCTCAGTGGTAAAGACTGCCTGCCAGCGCAGGAGACACGGGTCCGATCTCTGATCCGGGGAGATCCCACAGGCCGCAGAGCAGCTAAGCTGGTGAACCACAACTATTGAGGCTGTGCGCTAGAGCCTGCGAGCTGCAGCTACCGAAGCCTGCACGCCCCAGAGCCCGCGGTCCACAACAAGAGAAGCCACCACAAGGAGAAGCCTGTGCACCGCAACTAGAGAGCGCCCCCGCTCTCTGCAACTAGAAGAAAGCCCGAGGAGCAACAAAGACCCAGAACAGCCAAAAAGACGTCCCTGGAGGCTCAGACGGTCTGCCTGCAATGCGGAAGACCCGGGTTCGATCCCTGGGTTGGGAAGATTCCCTGGAGAAGGAAATGGCAACCCACATCAGTACTCTTGCCTGGAAAATCCCATGGACAGAGGAACCTGGTAGGCTACAATCCATGGGGTGGCAAAGAGTCAGACACAGCTGAGCGACTTCACTTTAACTTTCACAGCCAAAAATATATAAATAAATATATGTTACATAAATTTACAATTAAACAAATTACAGGAAAAAAAAAAGCAATGACTTCCAAAACCTCATCACTTCCTAATTATTTTACTCTCCTTTACAATATCTATGCTCTTGGGATTGTATCAGCCCAGAGAAAACGCTCTAGAAGGGAGTGCATTTCTTCCAGCCTCCACCTTAGGGATGACACCAGCAGGACCCTGCGGGGCTCCTGGACACGAAAGTTTTTCTGTGTCTCCTATTTCTTGTTTGTAGAAAACAGGCTTCCTTCAGCCTCCATGACCTTTCCTGAGTTCCAAAGGGCAGATTCAAACAGCTGCTAATCAGGGAAGGAAGAGGATGTGGAGACAGGGAGGACAAGTCAAGAAACAGTACCGCAGGCTCGAGGCAGAGTCCTTGTTCCCCCTCAAGGCATATACACCGAAAGATCTTCAAGCTCTTCTGCAGAACCGAAACTCCCACCAAAGGGAAGATGTTAACTACTTGGTGAAGCACTCCATTCCAGAGAGAAGGTCACAATTCGATAACCTCGAGAACCACAGAGCCCATCATGAGACCACCTGATGGCAGATGCTCTCTAGACTGAAGAAATGCAGGCCCTGCACGCACCCCGATCCTTATCAGCAACTCCACCCCTTGACTCTAAGACTCCTCACAAATCCCCTCCAGGTTGGGACACCGTTTTGAGGGCATTAGTCAGCTATGGACCCTTTTGCCTAGCAAGGCAATACAGCTGTTCTTTTCTACTTCATCCAAACCCTGTCTCTGAGATTCAGTTTGGTGCCAAGGGTACAGAGGCTG